GACAGGTCTTCCCAGAGTTGCGCTCCCCATCCTCCCGCAGGCGAGCGAGGCACTCTTGGCTTCCGAGGTCCAAGCCTTGGCGCATCGCCGAACCTTCCCGCTGACGCCCCCGCGGGCGCCCCTGGTTGCCTGCAGACCTTGCGAGGAAAAAACAGGCCCTTCAGGCCATAAGGAAACGGAGTGATGAGCCCTTCGGCTGGCGAAGCCGACGCCCCCACCACGGGCGGTGGCGCCGCGACGTGTCTCCCTTCCCTCCCTGGAATCACCCCGGGGCGCGACTCACGCAACGGATCAGGAGAGGCAGCCTTCAGTTGCGGAGCAGACGTCGACGGTAGGGCACGCAGCAGAGCGCACATCCCACGCGACGTCGCTCTGGCTGCGCAGAGTCATCCGCGCGGCGGTGCGGCGACGGGGGCTACCTCGGGGGGCGACGAAGGGGTCAGGGTCCTGGTGCGACAGAAGTTCCCGCCCCCCCGGGGCACTGCCAGAGGCGACTCCCGCTGCAACGGCAGCAGAGCGGCCGGCAGCCGTGGCGGGATGGAGCCGCCCCGCGGCAGTGGGGGCACCGGCAGGGTGCAGCCTGGTGCAGACAGCGTGCAGCCTGGTGCGGACAGCCCACAGCCTGGCGAGGACAACGACGCCGAGGGTCGGCGACCGCCCCCCAGGGACATGAACGACCCGCTCCCTGCTTCCTCAGAAGAGGCTGTCTTCGGCAGCAGAGAACCAGCTTGCAGCAATCCTGGCGGTGCCGACGCGGCGATGGAGACCGCCGCTGGATGCGGCCCTGGAGCCGCAGGTCCCGCCTCGGTGGACACCCCCCCTCCACCTTGCCAGCCCAGGACCAACGCCGCGGCGCTGAACGCGGAAGCATCGACCCTCGGCTGCCCTGGGAGAAAACTTTTGTTCGAAGGTACGGGTCCCCGCGGCAGAGCCACCTCGGCCCCTGGAAGCCAGCGGTGCGGTAGAAGGACAACCCTCCCCGATGGACGTGGAGGGCCCTCCCCCGGCATCCTCCGAATAGGTTACTGTCAGCAGCCGAGACCCCGCGGCGCCGACTTCTGGTGACGCCGACCCAGCGAGGGCCCTTGGGCAGTCAGCGCAGCAAGCGGGAGACGGGCCGCGCAGCCTGGGTGCAGCCCTGGCAGCAGCAGGCCCCCCATGTGGCAGCCCCGCCGCAGGGGGCCCTGGTGGGGCACCTCAGAGCGCCCAGCTGCAGACGCGGAGGAGTGTGGCGCTCGCCTGGATCCGCCAGCAGCCAGGGGCGCCAATCGCAGCACTACTAGGCAGGCAGGGTGCTCGCGTCGCGCAGGACCACCCGCTCCCGCAGATCAGGATCAGCCTCCCCGCGACCCCGCGCCGCTTCATCCCCCTCCGACTATCTCCCCCCCCGGGCTCCCCTTTCCCTCGCCCGTCACTCCTGGCTCGCAAAGGGATGATCCACGCTCCCCTTTCGTCCCGCGGGCGGTGGTTCCCCTTGCGGAGGGCCCCCCGACGTGCCCGCAGTCTCCGGACTGGTCGCCCGGAGACGACCACCTCGCCGCTGCCGGCGATGACGGGCCCTCAGACCCCGACATGGGCGGCGCCGAGCGGGGCGCGCGAAGAATGGAATTCAGCACTGACGCCCACGCACGGTGGATGGACGCCACAGGGCGCACCGACGCCTGCCGGCGACAAGGCCGCGCGAGCGACGGCCCCGCCAGCGGCCCGCGCGTCGCCGACCCCAGAGTCACAGACAGAGGAGGCACTATGGACGCCCTCCTTCGGGACGACCAGCGCGCTGAAGGTCCCTGGCGCGAACATGCAAACAGAGGGGCGGAAGTGCCCCGGAGCAGAGCCAAAACCTCGAGATGCTAGTGCGCCACAGGTGGAACCGGCGCCGCCCTGGTCACCCAGGTATCCACCCAAACTCCCCGCTGCGGGCAGCGCCTCCCGACCCTGGCGATGGACTTCCAGCGCCGACCCGCCTAGCCGCCGCGAGCATCCTGACCCTCGTGGACCTCTCGGGGCTGGTCTGGTCAATCACGGGTGCAGACCGCGAGGGCAGACTGGGAGGAGTCCGTCCAGATCCAGTGCAGGTCCTCGCCACCCGATTCGCCAGTGTCACACGCGACCCCCTAATCCCTAATCCACGCGGGGGGGCTCGACGGCGACAATGCCAGCCCCATGGGGCTGCAGCTGGCGCGACTCGAATGCGAGGCCATGGCCGCGGCCGCGCGCTACTGTGTTGTCGGCGTGGCCGCCTCAGACAGCCCACTTCCAGACGCCGTGCTCGCCCCGACCAGGGCAGGGCGCGAAGCGGAGCGGTCCCCAGGGTCATGTCTGGACCAGGCAGGCCCGAAGGAACAGTGGACCCTATGGACGACGAAACCCGGGCCAGAGCATACAGAGTGATCGTGCACGAACGCAGAAACAACATCATGCACCTCCCCGACCGCAGCGACATGCGGACATGGGCGGACAATAGAGGAGCTTTCAGATGCCTGGGAGACGACGTGCTCTCACTAGAGCACCACGGGCACCTTGGATCTGTTCCCTGGGCAGCGCCTGCTCTGGAAGGAATCGCCTCCTTCGGGCCAGGCATCCCCGGTGTATCTGTGCAGGGCGGAGACCACTCAAGCAGCCCATGGCCCCGGGACACCACGGCGCATTGCCTTCTCTTCGGCGGTTTCTTCTGCCCCACTACCCGCTGCGACTTCTTCGGGACCTGGCAGCTGCGGGGGCCGATGGGGGCGCTCCTGCATCGCGTGCCGACGGCTGGCCGTCCCTTGGAGCGTCGTGGACAGCGAGCTGGCCTCGAACACCTACCAGCCACCTAACCACCCGCTGGACGCACTGGGACAAGAGCTCTCCTTTCAACTGGCCAGGGTAGGAGCTAGGTACGCCGCGATCGCAGAGCACCTGTACACACCGCGAGCGCCAGGCGCAGTGGATCACACCGCATCCTGGCTCGTCGGCGAGCTACTCGGTGCGTGGAGACATATGGCCGCATACCCAGACGCGTGGATCAGCAGCCGAGTCCTGAGCAGACGGGACCTAGGGGATGAGCCCCAGCTCCGTGCGGCCGTGGCAGCGCTGGCGCAGCTTTGCGCCGCTCCCATCCAATGGGCCTCCGACGCATGCAGGCGCATACGGGACCTGACGGAGGCATGCCCGGCGCAGGCGGAGCTGCATAACTGGTTCCCACCGGCGATTGCCAGGCCCAACATCAGGATGACGCCAGCACCCCCCGTCGGCCTCCCCGACGGGATTCGGCGCCACCCTCACAGATGGCACGACCGTCGAAAGGGCAGACCTGGTGCGGATCGCAGCGCAGATCGGGGGGGTTACCTCGAGTTGGCCATCCTCGATACACCAGATCACGAGAGCGGCAGGTGGGCCGTCCCCATGGAAACGGCCGAGGTGATGCGCGGGAGGAGGAGGAAGAGGAGGAGGAGGATGAGGAGGAGGAGGAGGAGGAGGAGGAGGAGGAGAGGAAGGGAAGCAAGGAGCAAGGAGGAGGAGAAGGAGGAAGAGGAGGAGGAGGAGGAGAGAGGAGGAGGAGGGAGGAGGGAGGAGGAGGAGGAGGAGGAGGAGGAGGAGGAGGAGGAGGAGGAGGATGATCATGATGATGAGGAGGAGGAGGAGGAGAATCTGAGGAGGAGGAGAAGAGGAGGAGGATGAGGATAATGAGGAAGAGGATGATGATGATGATGATGATGATGATGGTGACGATGATGATGATGATGATGATGATGATGATGATGATGGTGGTGGTGGTGGTGATGATGATGATGCTGCTGCTGATGCTGATGATGATGATGATGGTGCTGATGCTGATGATGATGATGACGATGATGATAATGGTGCTGATGACGCTGCTGCTGATAATACTGCTGCTGCTGATGATGATGCTGATGCTGGTGCTGATGATGATGATGATGCTGATGATGATGATGATGATGATGATGATGGTGGTGGTGGTGGTGGTGGTGATGATGATGATGATGATGATGATGATGATGATGATGATGATTGCGATGAGGATGCTGCTGCTGCTGCTGATGATGTTGATGATGATGTGATGATGATGATGATGATGATGATGATGATGATGGATGATGATGATGATGATGAGGATGAGGATGAGGATGAGGATGAGGATGGATGAGGATGAGGATGAGGATGAGGATGATGATGATGATGAGGAGGAGGAGGAGGAGGAGGAGGAGGGGAGGAGGAGGAAGGAGGGGAGGAGGAGGAAGAGGAGGAGGGTGAGGGAGGAGGGAGGAGGGAGGAGGGAGAGGAGGGGGAGGAGGGAATGGGGAGAAGAAAGGCGGGAGGAGGGAGGAGAGAGGAATGAGGAGGATGGGGAGGTGTGTTGGGGGGGGGGGGGGGGGAGGAGGGATGAGGATGAGGATGAGGAGGATGGGGAGGATGAGGAGGATGAGGAGGAGGGAGGAGGAAGAGGAGGAGGAGGAGGAGGAGAGGAGGAGGAGGAGGAGGAGGAGGAGGAGGAGGAGGCGGAGGAGGAGGAGGAGGAGGAGGCGGAGGAGGAGGAGGAGGAGGAGGAGGAGGAGGAGGAGGAGGCGGAGGAGGAGGAGAGGAGGAGGAGGAGGAGGAGGGAGGAGGAGGAGGAGGAGGAGGAGGAGGAGGAGGAGGGGAGGGGGATGGGGGAGGAGGAGGAGGAGGAGGCGGAGGAGGAGGAGGAGGAGGAGGAGGAGGAGGAGGAGAGGGGGAGGAGGAAGAGGAGGAGGAGGAACAATGGCGGAGGAGGATGAGGAGGAAAAGGAGGAGGATGAGGAGGAGGAGGATGAGGAGGAGGAGGATGAGAAAGCGGACAGGGGAGACAGCAGAGGAGGAGGAGGAGGAGGAGGAGGAGGAGGAGGAGGAGGAGGAGGAGGAAAAAGGCGAGGCGAAGTTGCAGGACCACGAGCAGAAGCATGAAGAGGACGAGGACGGGGCGGATAGAGACGTGTCGAGCTGGCGTGGGTGGTGGATCGCGCTGGCGCGCAAGACCGCAGGTCACCGACCCCAGCCAGGCCGTGCCCATGGGGGTCGCGGCGCTGCGCAGGTGGGGCGAGGACTCGGGCTGGGTGAACGGAGGCGGAGAGGAGGACGACGAGGAGGAGGAGGAGCTGGGGGAGAAGGAGGAGGATGAGGAGGTGAAGGAGGAGGAGGAGTGGGAGGAGGAGGAGGAGGAGTTGGAGGGTGAGGAGGAGTGGGGTGATGATGATGATGGTGATGATGATGATGCTGCTGCTGCTGATGATGATGATGATGATGATGATGATGATGATAATCATGATGATGATGCTGATGATGCTGATGCTGCTGATGATGATGATGCTGATGATGATGATACTGACGATGACGATTCTGCTGATGCGGATGATGATGCTGATGATGTTATTGCTGCTGATGATGATGAGGATCAGGATGAAGATGAGGATTAAATTCAGGATGCGGATTCTGAGGATGATGAGATGACGAGGTTGTTGAGGGAGGAGGAGAAGGAGGAGAAGGAGGTGGGATGAGGATGAGGATGAGGGCGATGATGGTGCTGATACAGCTGATGATGATAATGGTGATGATGATGCCGATGATGATGATGCTGATGATTGCGACGATGATGACGATTATGCTGATGATGATGGCGATTCTGATGATGATGATGCTGATTATGATGATGATGTTGATGATGATGATGCTGATGCTGCTGCTGATCATGGTGATGATGGTGATACTGTTGATGATGCTGCTGATGATGATGATGATGATGATGTTGCTGCTGCTGCTGCTGATGATGATGATGATGATGATGCTGCTGATGATGATGATGATGATGCTGCTGCTGATGATTGATGATGATGATGATGATGATGATGATGATGATGATGATGATGATGATGATGAGATGATGATGATGATGATGATGATGATGATGATGATGATGATGATGATGATGATGATGATGATGATGCTGATGATGATGATGATGATGATGATGATGATGATGATGATGATGATGATGATGATGATGATGATGATGATGATGATGATGATGATGATGATGATGGTGATGGTGATGGTGATGGTGATAATGGTGATGATGATTCTCGGGCTTACGCCGCACCGCCGATCCCTTGGGGTTGTACGTAGTAGATGCAGTCCAGTGGGGGCCTCGTGTTAGCCTTGTGGGGGTTCTGGTGGGACTTCCTGTGGTCTTCTTGGGGCCAAGGGCTCGGAGTGTCCGATCGGGTCCTTTGGCTGGTTTTCTTTTGGAGTTTGTCTTGGGCACCTCTGTGGGCGTCGTGGAGGTCACAGCTGCCGTCGTGGGGCCGTCCTGGGGGCCTTGCGGTGCTCCTGGCTGTCTTGAGGCCCTCTTGACTTGTGTTCGAGCCCTCTTGAGCGGTCCTAGGACCTGCTCGGGGGCCTGATGGGTCGTCTTGAGGCGGTCTTGGGGGCCTCTTGGGCCGTCTTCGAGCGTCGGAAGCCCGAGAAGGCGAGCAAGGCAAAAACCTATGAAAAACTAATGAAAATCATCACTTTTTGCCTCTTGGGGACCTCGTGGGAGATGTCTTCGAAGCCTGTTGGGGCGTCTTGGAGGCATCTTGGGCTGTCTGGAGGCTATCTTGGGTGGCTTGGGACGATGTTTCGGCGACTTGGGGCCTGCCTGGTCCGTCTTGGAACTGCTGGAGCAAAGTACCCTCCCCGGCCGGCCCGCAAAGTACCCTTCCCGGCGGGCCCGGCTGACCCGGCCTGGCTGGGTAGACTTTCCACGTGGGAGTGTTTTGCCCGAGGGTGTGTTTTGGGGGCCATTCTTGGGGCGGAGAGCCGAGTTTGCAGTTCGTGGTCCCCGTCGAGCGCTGTGGAGGCTGCCTTGAAGCTCTCTCGGGCCGTCGTGGGGCCAGCGTAGGCTGTCTACAAGCCCGCGTGGGAGCCTCGTGACTCTTGGGGCCTCTCGGGGAGCTCATGAGGCGTCAAGGCAGATTTTTTTGGGGCGGAGAGCCGAGTTTGCAGTTCGTGGTCCCCGTCCTGGGCCTTTAGTAAAGCTGTCTTCGAGCGCTGTGGAGGCTGCCTTGAAGTCTCTTGGGCCGTCGTGGGGCCAGCGTAGGCTGTCTACAAGCCCGCGTGGGAGCCTCGTGAGTCGTCTGGAGACGGTGTTGGAGGCTTCGTGGGCTGTCGTTCGGACACCCGCGAAGGCTGGAAGGCGAAAATGCTTAGAAGAAAAAACCAATGAAAGTTAACCATTCTGTATGATTCTCTAACTGTTGGAGTCCTCTTGGGAAGCCTCTTCGAGGCCTCGTGGGACGTCATGGAGGCATCCTGGGCCGTCTGAAGGCCAGCGTGGGCGTTTCGGATCCATGTTTCGGCGGCTCGTGGTCCTCTTGGACCGTCTGGAGTGCCTCTCGGTGCCCATTTGGCTTGTTTCGGGCCCTCGGTCCCTCCGTGGCGCGTTCGGGCCCTCCCCAGGGGACCCCCCCCAAATGGGGTCGGCGAATTTCTATAGTTTCTCGCTCCCTCTCTCCGTTTTTTTTTTTTTTTTTTTTTTTTTTTTTTTTTTTTTTTTTTTTTTTTTTTTTTTTTTTTTTTTTTTTTTTTCTCTCTCTCTCTCTCTCTCCATCCTTCTCTCCATCCTTCTCTCTCTCTCTGTCTTCAGTCCTCCTTCCCCCTCCTTGTATGCCTCATTCCCTCCCTCTCTCTGTCTCCTCCGCCCCCTCTCCGCCTCGCCTCCTCCCCGTCGCCCCGTCCCTCGTGCCCCCTCGTGCCGGCCCAGGACGGCCTGAACGTCCTGGTCCACTGCCAGATGGGCCTGAGCAGGTCGACGCTCCTGGTGCTGGCCTGGCTGATGCGGGCTCGTTGTCTCTCTCGCCTCCTTCCAGACGAGAGGGAGTCTGCGGAGGGTAGGAGGAGGAGGAGGAGGAGGAGGAGGAGGAGGAGGAGGAGGAGGAGGAGGAGGAGGAGGAGGAGGAGGAGGAGGAGGAGGAGGAGGAGGAGGATATGAGGGAGGATATGAAGGAGGAGGAGGAGGACGAGGAGGAGGATGAGGAGGAGGAGGAGGAGGAGGAGGAGGAGGAGGAGGAGCGCAGGTGCGCGCCGCGTCGTCGCGGCGGCCACGCTGGTTTGGGCGTTCAGGATTCAAAGTCGCTGCCGCGGCCTGCATCGCGGGGAGCGTTCAGGGTAAGAGCGCTCCCGCGGAGTCAGACACCAACGTCCACGTCGTCACGATTGGAACCAGCCGTACGCTGCAGGCACTGCACATCCAGTGTGCTTAGTGAGTAGATCTGCATCCTGTGCGGTGGTGTGTATGCTGCAGGTGGGTCTGGTCGAGCTGCAATGCATACGACGTGGTGTGCCTCCGCGTGCTGAAAACTCGTTTTCCTCGCGCGCATCGCTATTTGCAGATGACCCTTTGTGCTGTAAGAAGCGGGGGGTCACACCATGCGACACGGGCCTGCGTTACCCTATGCGGCATTGCATGCAGTGCGCCATGCGGTGGGATCTGAGTTTTTACGAGTATCAATATTGGGTTCTGTGGAGGCACTCTGGGGGCCCTCAACGGGCGTCTCGAAGCCCTCTGGGGCCGTCTTGGGCCCTTCTTGGGCCCTCCTGGGCCATTTGACATTTCTTGGACGTTTATGGGGCCTTATTGGGGTGATCTTTGGGGCCTCTCTGGCCGTCTTGGGCGCTCCAAACACCGAAAGGGAGAGTTGATCATATCGTGCGAATTCCCTCGGGAAAAGCGTGACTTGTGCTTCTTGGGTGCTTCTTGCGAGTCCTCTCGGGGGCCCCCTTGGGCCGTTTATGTGCCGCCTTTCTTGGGCCCATCTTTGGCTCTTCGGGCCGCCTTAGGGCCTTCTGAGGCCCCCTGCCGTCTTTGGACCACCTGGAGCCGTCGTGGGCTCATCCGGTGCACTCGAGATCCAGCCTCCGTGGCCAGGACCCAGGTTGTGTCAAATCATTTTTCGACGACAAGGGGAGCCGGTTGTATTTTTACAGCTATATGTCGGGGCTCAAGAGACGGGGAGAGCACGCTACGCATGGAATGAATTCAATGAAAATCAATTGCAGTGGATCCATGAGTGGATCAATCTAGATTGATGAGGCTATGATGCCTCTTTTGATTCTGAGCCGGCTATGATGCCCGCTCGTGCCCACCCCGTCCCGTCTTCAGGGACTTCGCATCCCCTTATGATGGTAGGATGGGAAGACGGGCCGCCGCCCCTGGCACTGCACGTACGGTGCCAGGTTTGTGGGGATTTGGTTCGACCCCCGCAGTCCCAATGATGGAAACTGCGGGGGGTGTGAGGCCTCATGGTGGTCCTCACTGGTAAGGCCTATGATGGTCCTCACCGGGGGGGGGAGAGGGCAAGGGTGGACGTCCACCAGCAACGTCCGTCGTGCTCATCCTCCGTGAAATGCACTGTGACCACACTCATGACCAAGAAGACCGTGACATCCACGAGCACGACCCGACCTATGATTGCGGGCTCCGTGAAATGCACCGTGACCACGCTCATGACCACGAAGACCGTGAAACACACGAGCACGACCCCACCTATGATTGCGGACTCCGTGAAATGCACTGTGATCACGCTCATGACCACGAAGGCCGTGAAACACACGAGCACGACCCGACCTATGATTGCGGACTCCGTGAAATGCACTGTGACCACGCTCATGATCAAGAAGACCGCGACATTCACGAGCACGACCCGACCTACGATTGCGGATACCCTGAAACGTACCGTGAACACATCCATGATCACGGAAACCGTGAAATTCACGAGCACGACCCGACCGAGGCCGAGGTGCTGCCCGCTGCCTGTATCGCGGCTCCGATGGATTGGAGACGAGGAGGAGGAGGAGGAGGAGGAGGAGGAGGAGGAGGAGGAGGAGGAAAAGGAGAATGAGGAGGAGGAGGAGGACGAGGAGGACGACGATGAGAAAGATAAGTTCAATGAACAGATTGAGCGCGAAGGCCTATGCTGGTCCTTCTTCCCAAAACGAGCCTTTCTGATGGCCCCGAATTGGGTGCGAGGTGCCTAGGATGGCCCCTCTGGCTGCCTATGATGGCGGCACTGGACGACTGGCAGGGGACTGGGTCCCGTTCACGGTCCATTAGGGGAGAGCATGCTACGCATGGAATGAACTCAATGAAAATCAATTGCAGCGGATCCGTGAGTGGATCAATCTAGATTGATGAGGCTATGATGCCTCTTTTGATTTTGAGTCGGCTATGATGCCCGCTCGTGCCCACCCCGTCCCGTCTTCAGGGACTTCGCATCCCCCTATGATGGTAGGATGGGAAGACGGGCCGCCGCCTCTGGCACTGCGCGTACGGTGCCAGGTTTGTGGGGAATTGGTTCGACCCCCGCAGTCCCAATGATGGAAACTGCGGGGGGTGTGAGGCCTCATGGTGGTCCTCACTGGTAAGGCCTATGATGGTCCTCACGGGGGGTGGACGTCCACCCTTAGGGTGGACGTCCACCAGCAACGTCCGTCGTGCTCATCCTCCGTGAAATGCACTGTGACCACACTCATGGCCAAGAAGACCGTGACATCCACGAGCACGACCCGACCTATGATTGCGGGCTCCGTGAAATGCACCGTGACCACGCTCATGACCAAGAAGACCGTGACATCCACGAGCACGACCCGACCTATGATTGCAGGCTCCGTGAAATTCACCGTGACCACGCTCATGACCACGAAGACCGTGAAACACACGAGCACGACCCGACCTATGATTGCGGACTCCGTGAAATGCATTGTGACCACACTCATGATCAAGACGACCGTGACATTCACGAGCACGACGCGACCTATGATTGCGGACTCCCTGAAACGCACCGTGAACACACCCATGATCACGGAAACCGTGTAATTCACGAGCACGACCCGATCGAGGCCGAGGTGCTGCCCGCACTGCCTGTATCGCGGCTCCGATGGGGTGGAAACCAGGAAGAGGAGGAGGAGGAGGAGGAGGAGGAGGAGGAGGAGGAGGAGGAGGAGGAGGAGGACGACGATGAGAAAGTTGAGTTCAATGAGCAAATTCAGCGCGAATGCCTATGATGGTCCTTCTTCCCCAAACGAGCCTTTCTGATGGCCCCGAATAGGGTGCGAGGTGCCTAGGATGGCCCCTTTGGCTGCCTATGATGGCGGCACTAGACGACCAGCAGGGCGCAGGATCCTGCAAGACAAACATTGACCAGGGTCAGTAGGTTCCCGAATCTGGGTCGTGCTGTATCCCCCTGAACAGGTCCCTCTTGTTTTGCGCGTGGCGCGCCTGCCGCGCCTCGTCCTCCCGCTGATCCTCCTCGCCGTCGTCGCCCTCTTCCTGCTCAGTCTCATCCTCTCCTAATTCTCATCTTCCTCCACCTAGTCCTTCAACTGAGGGGCGCTGGTTTACACTCAGATTCTTTCCGGGGCGGGGCTAAATGAAAGGGGATTCCTCTTGTAGAATGCTGGCGAAGCCACTCCTCGTAGAGGGCTTACAAACAGGATCCTTATGTAGGTGGTTTGCACATATACTTCTTCATTGGATGGTGTAAACAACGGCTCCCCCGTGAGATAATTGGCACATCGATTATTTTCGAAGGGGAACGGCAACCGCATAAGGAACAACACCATGGTACAAACACATCAAACACATGGCTGATCAAGAGCACCAAAGGGTAAGCCACCACAACAACACGGAACAACACCATGATACAAACATTTCACACACTGAGGGTCGACCAAGAACGCCAAAGGGCAGGGATCGACCTAAACGGTGTTTTGGCGATTCCGTGGGCTGTTTTCGTTTCGATTTTGTTCTGCAGCAGAGGCGAACTGCAGACAAAACGAAGGAACACGAAAACACAACGAACACGAAAAGCATTGCTTACATCGATCCCAGTCAAAGGGGAAACACCATCACAGTAACACAACACTCAGCCGCGCGTAGAGGGGGGTTGTGGGGGAGGGGGAAGACTCCTTAGAAGCACCCCTGCTCCTTAGAAGGCGCGCGCCTTGTCTACAGATGTAAGACCCGCGCCCTCTAAGAATCAGGCGATCGCAAACATGGTTCAGGGAGGCGTGGATTAGCGACGGTTCCCGTTTCCATGGGAAATCGCGGATTTCCGCCGCCGAACGAGGCGGAACCGGCCGCATTTTGGGGAGGGCACCTCGCCCGATCCATGTTTGCGCGCCCCCGAAAGAAGCAGCCTCCTGTCAAGAAGCCTTCTCCCCTCTCTCCCACGCCAGGTTCGTGCTGCGTTGTTGGCGCGCCAGCGATGCAGGCGACTGCACTCCAAGGCTGACCTCTGCGACGCGGCAGCACCCTCGGGATACGGCGACGGGTCCTTGTTTGGAGTCTCCTGGAGGCTTCCAGGAGGCCCCAGCTTTGCAGCAAACGCGTCCAGAGCCTCCTCCTCCTCCTCCGCCTCCTCCTCCCCCTCCTCCTCCTACTCCTCCGCTTCCTCCTCCGCCTCCTCCTCCAGGAGACTCCAGACGGCGTCGACCCGACGGAATTCTACTTTGGTCGATCGGGACCGCGATAGATTCCAGGCACGATCGACGCGGTGTCACAGACCTCTGCGCGCAGCCAGCAAGCGCCAGCGCGGCCGCGCCGCCGCGCGCCGCCACATCTCATGACTTCCTGCCGCCTTCCGCAGCCTTCGGCCGCCTTCCGCCGCCCTCTTCTTGCCCCCTGGCTGATTCCACCGCCCTCCACCTCTCTGGGAGGGCACCTCC